GATACCACCACCATGCTCTTTCCAAATGAGCTAACTGGCCAGCCCTAAACTTTTATATTTTATTGAATCACCTTGATGACAGAGTATACCAGATGCCTAGATAAAGATATCAGCCCTTTCCAGTACTGTAGAAGGCTCCACATGCCTCTCCTGGTCTGTACTCTCCAAGGTCACCACTTTTCTGACCTTTATCCCCATAGGTGACTTTTCCCAATTCTTGACCTTCGTATGAATGGAATCATCTTGTGTCTCATGCTTTCCCATGGTGACACTTATTCTTAATTTGCACTAGCCCCTCCCGGCAGGGCTGGAACTCCTTGAGGGTGGGACTAGGTCCTAATCATCTCGGTGCCCCCCACCTACCACCATCACCTTGAGGCTAAGGCAGAGCAGGGTGCACGGTGGATGTTCATTCAGTGAAGGGCAACCAGTCTCTCCACAGCATAGGGTGGTAGTAAGAGCACAATACTGCTGTGCGACCTTGGGCAAGTTTCTTAACCTCCCTGTCCCAAACCAAGAAGAATGATAGTACTTGACTTCTAGGGTCCTTGTGATAATTAAATGCATCAATACTATAAAGCTCCTACAAATGTCTGGAACACGGTGGTGCTATGTACATGTTTATTAAATGAAAAAACATGTATTTTCCACCATAGGAGCTGAGGCAGGCCTTAGCCCTCTTTTTAAAACTATGGCCTGCCTGCCACTTATTTTTGTAAATAAAGTTTTATCACAGCCACACCCTTGGCCTATGTGTTGTTTACGATCCCTTTCGGGCTACAACGGTAGAGTTGAGTAGCTGCAACAGAGACCATGTAGCTGGCAAAGCCTAAAATATTTACTGTCTGATCCTTTCCATGATAGGTTTGCTGACCCTCCTTGCACTGTGATTTCTAAACCTTCCATCAACAAGGCTATGCTCTAGCTTTAATATGGACTACTCTGACCCAGGTAAAAATAGTTCCTGTGTCTGTTACACGTTTAAATGCCTCGACTGTCCTCCTCTCTGCATAAAACCCCCCTTGACTCCCACAGGTTTCCTTGTCCTTCATCATGGCTCTCAAGAATCCCGTGTGCCCAGTCTTTGGTGGCCCCTTCCATGGGGGGTGGGGGGTGGGTTTGAACTTGTGATCTCTAAGAGTGGCAACAGGTGAGAAGAGAGCAGACAGGCCTCTGGGAATTCGAGGCCCACACAGAGAGGGCACAGTCATACAACAGTCCTGTTTGAAGTGGGTTATTAAGTGTTGGCCTGAGGGTGGAGATCTGGCAAGCCTGCCATTTCTTCTAGCACTTTCCACTAAGCTTGCTGTTGCAGATTACTTAAGAAGGCACCAGAGATATGATGATGAGATCCAATTTATTATGCAAATATGGGGCTAGTTTTAGCCAGCCATGGGTTTACTGCGGCCTTGCTGTTACTCTCGGGAACAGACCATAACAAATAGAATTTTGATGAGTTCAATGTAAGAAAAAAAAAGAGCTTAATATTTATGTACTCATTTGGAACCACCTACAAGACAGATTAAGCCAAAAGAACAAAATTTAGAAGTGTGTGATTTGCTACTAATAGGGTGAGACCTCACTCACTACCCCCACCCCCCAGAGAGAGCATTAATCCATTCATGAGGGGTCCGCCCCCATGACTCAATCAGTTTCCAACACTGCCACACTGGGGATCAGATTTCCACATGAGTTCTGGAAGGACAACACATCCCTAGGGTATCAGCCTTATTATTATTATTACTACTACTTTTGTTATTGGATCAAAATAATTGGCCTGCCAGGTACTGGGAAAAATCCTCTTTGTCCAACAATACTATGAGGCTGTCACTCACCAAGGGCCACGTTGGGTTTTCTTCTAAAAGCTTTAAGTTCATTAAGAACAATCTCTATGTCCTCACTGCTCAGTGTGGTCCTGGACCAGCAGCACTGGCGTCCCCCAAGAGCTTGCTAAAAAGGTGGAATCTCAGCCCCACTCCACACCTACTGAATCAGAATCTTCATTTTAACAAGATGCCAGGTGATTCGGGTGCACATTAACCTAGGAGAAACACTGATCCAGTTCATCTTCCTTGAGCTGGGTGCATTAAAAGAATATGTCACATCCTTTAATCAATATGAAAAGTAATGCATGGTTATTTCGCCCATGTTTTTCTCTTTCCTGCCTCCAGATTGTCCTCTGTTAGCACAGAAGTGTCTCTTCCCCTCTTCTTTGGCAAAATCTCAGGTAATCACCTTTAGAACTTGCCTTTCTTGTGAGATCTTCAGATTACTTCTCTTTGTCACTCTAATCATGCATTCATCTTTTCAGCACAAATGCCCTGAATGCCTGCCTGGTGCTGCGTGCCCAGTGACACCAGGTCCCCTGTGACCCTGTGCCTGTGCTCTTCTCCACATGCAGGGGTGCAGGGGCACACTCCATCTTTCTCCTTATCCTTCATATGTTCTTCCTCCCTAATGTCTGAGGACCAAATTGTCTACTGCTCCACCAGATCTTCAATGAAGTGTTTCTGTCACTTGTAGTTGAATGCATTTGCAGTGGCTGCCCCATTTGCCCAGGAGGCTCCTGAGAAGGTGACCTGAGAGCAGAGATGGTCTCTTCTCCTCTCTTCCCTCCCCACCCCTCAAGCAGAGCCTCCACTCTTCACACTTCATGGTCTCAACTGACTTCCTCAGTGACTCACTTTTCTATAAGACTACTTTACCTTTGAAAACAGGTTTCCCTAAACATGAAAGGGCATAATGGGTTCCTTAAATGATTTCACCCAACTACGACATGGCAATGAGGTGTGTCTTAGTCTGTTTTCTGCTGCTATAACAGGATACCACAGATGGGGTAATTTATAACAAAAAGAAGAGTATTTGACTCACAATTCTGGAGGCTGGGAACTCCGAGAGCACAGTGCCCACATCTGGGGAGGGCATTCATGTTGCATCATAACATGGAGGAAGGGCAAGCAAGGATGTAAGACAGAGAGGAAATGGGGGCCCCCTTTTTATAACTAAGACATTTTGACGATATCAGCTTTAATCCATTCATGAGGGTCGAGCCTTCATGGCCTAATCACCTTCTAAAGATCCCACCTTTTAATATTGTTACAATGGTAATTAAATTTCTTTCTTTTTTTTTTTTTTGTTTTGTTTTTTGGGGTTTTTTTTTTTTTTGCATCTGGCTGGTATGAGGATCCAAACCCTTGAGCTTGGTATTATAACACTGCATTATAACCAACTGAGCTAACTGACCAGCGGTAGTTAAGTCTCAACATGAGTTTTGGTGGGGACAATCAAACCATGGCAAGGTAGAACGCAGTTTCTCAACAGAACTCTGGTGCCTCAGGACCAGATGTGCCACACTGAAGGGGTTCATCTGAGAGGCTTTGTGGAAAATAGAATAATTTAGTCAGGCTCCCTCCACTCAGGTCTGGTTGTGGGGTGGAGCAGCACATTTCTTGTAAATAAGTTGTGTGGGTGGAGTCAGTGTGCATGTGCACCCATGTATCTTTCTAGTTAATTGCTTTTGTGTGTTCTGCAGTTTGTGAAGCAGGCTGGGGGCCGAGCACTCATCTAATAGAGCATGTTTACTCTGCTGGCAGCTGCTCAGTTTCAGTTTCTCTTCGGACTTTGCAGGTAGCAGTGCAGTGTTTGTTTGTTTGTTTTTGTTTTTTTTTTCCCTGACCAGTAAGGGGATCGTGACCCTTCGCACAGTGTTGTCTGCACCATGCACGGCCAAAGATCCGAACCCGTGGCCTCAGCGCTACCAGCACCGCACTCTCCCGAGTAAGCCACGGGCCGGCCCAGCAGTGCAGTTTCTAAGTTTCTTCTTTGTACTGCCTAGCTCAACAATTGGCGTCGTCGGAGGATAACGCTACAGGCTTTGTCACCGGATGTTCCAGAACAGATTTTGTACAGTGGTCACATCATGGTCTTCCATGATTCTTGTATTTTAAAGATTGCCAGTGAATGTAGAAACAGCCCAGATTGTCTATTCAGAACTAAACACCATGAACTTTCATCTGAAAGAGACAGAGGTGGAACACCATCCCGAGCTCCTCAGCAAGCTTCTTCCTCTGGCCATACTCACTTCATCCAGCAGCTGTTCAATCACAGAGACTCTTCCTGCCCCCTCGGACCTACTTCCTTCAGCAGGAGTCTGTCTTCAGGCTGCAGGATCACAGGACTCCGACCGTCATTCCTGCTGCCTCAACACTCCAGGCAAACGCTTCCTCTCCAAGGTTGAATTCTGAGCAGCAGGGAGAGGTGAGCGTGAGTGCGTGTGTGTGTGACAGAGATCTTCAGTGGCCTGCAGCCCAAGTGTCCACATCTAACATAAATCTTACTGGTCTCCAAAGCCCTGACCAGGGGAAGAACACCACGCTGACAGACAGGGATGGAATGAGAAACCTCACAGAAATTCAGAAATAGCTCAAAGGCCAAACCCCATAGTGGTGTTATTTTGAATATTTGTAGGCAAGGCATTCAGACAAGTTCTAGAATTTACTTTGCACGCTTCTTATAAAGCATTGGGTGTCAGCTCAAGGCCCACATTGTCAGTTCAAGGAGTTCTGAGGAGTGAACGAACCTCTAAACTCAACTTGTTCAGAAGAAAAAGTTCGTCCAAGTTCTTATACTTGGGGAGCCAACGACTACCATCTTTTTGAAAATCAACAAGTGATTATTTGTCTAGGGATTTAGCTGTTGAGCCATCAGAAGCACAGAAATGGGATTGGCCAGATGATGCCATAAACTGTTCCTTTGGTCATAATAATGACTGGGTTTCAGAGAATTATCACATAAAGTGCACAGTACCTGTTTAGTTTAAGTAGCTCAACTGCAATTTCTAATGGAGCTTTTAAAAGTTGGTATATCAGGATCCACCCGCTGTACCGCCCCGCTCGCCTCGTGCCGGGCCGTTTGGGATCTACCCCTCCCCTCCCCCACCTGCCACCAATGACTTGACCCTATAACGAGCCCAAGTCCCCCAACGCCGCCCGGCGCTCACCATGGACGCCGGTGTGACTGAGAGTGGACTAAACGTGACTGTCACCAAAGAGGTCCACGAGAGCACCGGGACCCAGGTCCAGGTGGCGGGGGACATGCTGCCCAACTCCACCGAGCGGGCCATCACCATCGCTGGCGTGCCGCAGTCTGTCACCGAGTGTGTCGAGCAGATGTGCCTGGTCGTGCTGGAGACGCTCTTCCAGTCTCCGCAAGGGAGAGTCATGGCCGTTCCGCACCAGCCCACGCCTGCCAGCTTCCCAGTCATCTGCACGGGCGGCCAGGATCGCTGCAGCGACGCTGCGGGCTACCCCCACGCCACCCACGACCTGGAGGGGCCACCTCTAGACGCCGACTCGATTCAAGGACAACACACCATTTCTCCGCTCGATCTGGCCAAGCTAAATCAGGGGGCAAGACCACAGTCTCACTTTGCCAGATGCACGGCGGGACCAGAGTCGCCGGAATTGACTCCAGCTCCCCAGAGGTGAAAGGCTATTGGGCAAGTTCGGATGCATCTACTCAAACCACCCATGGACTCAACATTCCAAATAACTTAATTGGCTGCATAATCGGACGCCAAGGTGCCAACATTAATGAGATCCGCCAGGGCCTGCCAGTGGCTCACTCGGTAGAGTGCGGTGCTGATAACACCAAGGCCCGGGGTTTGGATCCCACATAGGGACGGCCTGTTCGCTCACTGGCTGAGCGTGGTGCTGACAACACCAAGTCAAGGGTTAAGATCCCCTTACCGGTCATCTTTTTAAAAAAATAAAAAATAAAAAAATAAAAAGATCCGCCAGATGTCCGGGGCCCAGATCAAAACTGCTGATCCAGTGGAAGGCCCTTCTGGTAGGCAGGTTACTATCCCTGGTTCTGCTGCCAGTATGAGTCTGGCCCAGTATCTAATCAATGCCAGGCTTTCCTCTGAGAAGGGCATGGGGTGCAGCTACAACAGTGTAGGTTAACTCAGAATCCCTTTCTGCTGTTTTCCCATGATCCAACTGTGTAATTTCTGGTCAGTGATTCCAGGTTTTAAATAATTTGTAAGTGTTCAGTTTTACACAACTTTATCATCCGCTAAGAATTTAAAAATCACATTCTCTGTTCAGCTGTTAATGCTGGGAATCCATATTTAGTTTTACAGTCTTTTCCCTGTTTTTAGTTTTGTTTTGGGTTTTTTGGCTCATGGATTTTATTTGTTTTATTTGTTGATAAGAAATGTAAGAGCGGAATGTTAATAAATTTCAGTTTAGTCCTGTAATGTCAAGAACTTAAGAATTAAAAAAAAAAAAACGGATTGGTTAAAAAATAAAAATAAAAAATAAAAACCAATATATCGGGGAGCTGATTTGTAGACCAAACAAAATAAAAAGTTTGTGGGGCCCACATATTGTAGCCACGTCCATCACCCTGTCTGTCCGCTGCTTCTCAAGCTCTCTGAGAGGCCAGCTTGAACCAGCCCTGGATGGGGCCGCAGGGAGTGATGAGGCAAAATGGAAGTGCTAGCCTCAGGCATATTTATTGTCAGGGATCTGAGTGTCATAGAAGGACTTCAATGAGCTAATCTCCATATTACATCTAAGTTTGTCTTTATTTCAAATTCTGGTTGCTGGAAGACTGAAGGAAGCAGTCCAAAAAGCAGGAGATATTACTGTTAGTATATTTCTGCCACTGGAACCCAGGGATGACTGTGGGGTAGTTGCAGGACCACTGTTTCCCTCTTTGTAAAAGTGGATATAACACCTACCCCAACAAAGGTCAAGCAAGGACTCTGAGCCTCTCAGAAGAAGATGCCGGATCCAGGCCAGGTCCCCCTACCCTCAATCCCCAGGCGGCATTCTGTTACCTGGAAGTAGCAGAATCCACAAGAATGTCAGCTCCATGAGAGCGGGGCCTTTGTTTTATCCCCAGCACCTAGAACCATGCCTGGAATATGATGTGCTTAAAAACAACTGTTGGTGATGGGCCAGCCTGTGGCTCACTCAGGAGAGTGTGGCGCTGATAACACCAAGGCCACGGGCTCAGATCCTATATAGGGATGGCCGGTTTGCTCACTGGCTGAGCGTGGTGCTGACAACACCAAGTCAAGGGTTAAGATCCTCTTACTGGTCATCTTCAAAAAAACAAAACAACAACAACAAAAAACTGTTGATGAGTGAATAATTTCTGATGCTTATCCTCAAATTCCAAATGAAGAAATGAAGACACAGAGCTTCCTTCCCTCTCTTTGTCCTGAGCACATGCCTTCAGTCTGTCCTGTGCATCTAATTCATTGACTTGGGCTCTACTCTGGGCAGCCCCACTGAGGACAGAGCATTTACTCCATTCATAGTTTTCAAAGAGCTTTTACGTGCATTTTCCTATTTGATATCCTCAACCTTCCTGTGAGGGCCCACAAACCTATCCTCATCTCATAGACACTCATTGCACCTTGCTGGGAACATAGCCAGGAACCAATAAATGTTAATTGCTCTCTTTTTTCTTGTCTTCTTTCTCAAGCTAGTAATTAATGTTTTACACATTCTCCTAGTGAAACAAAAGCTGCAAATATCAATCAATTCATGTTTGTTAGACACTTACAGGCTTTGTGGCAATGCCCCAGCCACCATACAAGAGAGAAGATACAGGGAAACATGGCTACAAAGTTTGATTTATTTTATATAGGGTGTATTAGTCCATTTATGTGTTGCTATAACAGAAATACCTGAGACTGGGTAATTTATAAAGAACAGAGATTTATTTGGTTTATGATTCTGGGACAGCTGCATCTGGCACGGGCCTCAGGCTGCTTTTACTCATGGCAGAAAACGGCAGGCAGCTGGCAGGTACAAGCAGATCACATGGTGAGAGGAAGTGAGATGGTAGGGAGGTGCCAGGGTCTTTTAAACAACCAGCTCTCACCAGAACTAAGAGAGTGAGAACTGACTCATTAATCCCCCCACCTAGGGAGAGCATTAATCCATTCATGAGGGATCCACCCCCATGACTCAAACAGCTTCCAACACTGTCATGTTGTGAATCAGTTTTTGGGGGACAACACATCCAAACTCTATCATAGGGCAAATTGGTCAAAGAAATATTTGGAAACATTTTTGTCAGTGTTTCCCAAAATCAAATGTATCACAGACATGCCATCTGATAGTGGGGGGCACCAATAAACCTGAAAAATATAGTGCCAATGTATTAGTCTGTTTCTGTTGCTTATAACAAAACACATGGAACTGAGTAATTTATTTTAAAAACTAAATTTATTGCTTACAGTTTCAGAGGCTGAAAGTCCAAAATCCAGGCAACATATCTGTGGAAGCCTTTCTTTGGTGGTGACTTAGTGACAGCAGGGTATCACATTGCAAAATGGTGGAGTAGAGAGAGAGACTAACTTCCCCATTCACTCTCCTTTTAAAGCCCTCCAAACTATGCCCATGATCACCATTTTTAATACATTCACTACATTATGGTCCTATAATCTAATCACTTCTTCATAGCCCAACCTTTCAATTACCATACTAGCATTTCCCACCCTCTTTACACTGTCCCAATAGGGGTCAAGTTTTGTGCGGGGACACTCAATCCAAGGTAACCAACACGGTGGGTGATAATTCCTATTCTTACTGAACTTTTTCTTGCCTGCAAGCTGGCTTCTCTAAGATTTAGCTCAATTTTTTATCTTATGCTATGTAACTTCTCCCTTATGTGGATTATATGGAAGCATCTCTATACAGTAATAACTCACAAATTACTGTTCCAGTCTACTTTTAAATTAATAATGTCTAAAGATTTCACTTACCTTGTTTGACACTTGAATGTAATTTAGCCTGATGTTGACTACATAAACATCATCATGGATAGTACAGGAAACATGCTATAACAAAAATTAAGGAGAGTTCACAGTCCTGAGTTTGGAGTTCACTGACCTGAGCATTGCCTAGCAAATCTGATATTCTAAATTAAAAACTTAATCAAATATTTTATTAAATCAAAAGAATGCAAGAAAAGGGAAATCAAGTAGCAAAAATGAGATGAAACAAATAAAAAACAAAGAGCGAAATGGTAGTCAAATGAAACTCTATTAATAATTACAGCAAATATAAATGGACTAAATACTTCAGTCAAAAGGCAGAGATTGTCAGACTGAATATAAAAGCAAGACCCAACTATATCCTGTATGTTAAGAGGTACAGTTTAAGTTTAATTAACCCACATGGCTGTATATGCTTACCTGGGGAAGAGTATCCTAGAGTGGTGAGGTCTTGATGATTGAGGGACAAGTTATAAAAATTGAGTGGGTTTCTCTAAAAGTGATGGGATTCAAGAGAAGGGGACATAAACCTCACATCTGGATGAAAGGAGAGTCAAAGAATTTGTGGCCATTTAAAAAACTTCCACAAGAATAAAACTACTGTCTTGTAGGTTGGTTATGAAGATTAGAGTTGTACATGATGCAGATATTGGGCACATGAATAAGTTACTAATATGATTATTATAGTTATTAAAATAGTGGATGATTTGAATGCATAATCCAGACAGTTCTTTTAGCTCTAACCATCAGAACTTCAATATTATGTGGCATCTTGGCATTAGATGTTCAGAACCTCATTGTTGTGGTTGAGAAGCAGACTCTGAATTGAGGACTCAAGTGTAAGTACTTATTAAAGATGTGCTCACTAGGAAGACTGGTGTGGGAGAAAAGAAGGGCTAAGCAAGTACGTGATTTTGGGCAAAGTCCTATGGCTTTAGCCAGATCCCATGGTGGAATTCAGGAGTGTAAGTTATGCCTCAGGGTTTCCCTGACTCCAGGCAAAGGAACTGGGCTGTTCTACTCCTGAAACCTTCAGGCCTTGGTCATGGGCTGTCCTGGATGGAGGGTATAAACTCACAGGCACTTTTAGCAACTTCAGTGTAGAAAAAGTGGCTCCAGTAGCCTGAGAACAGACTGCCAAAGAAGAGTCTCAGGTGTGACTCATTGCAGGCACCCTCAAGGGAGGATTGCCAAAACAGTTAGAGGGTCCAGGGGGATCCAGCTAGAGCCATCACAATGTCCACTACACTTACTAATATTTATTATGCTGAATAGACGTGAGGTCAAATGCTCTCAGCTAACACCTAGCTTGCCTGCTAGAGGGCGGGGTCTTCTCTCATGTTCGTCAGGGGAAAAACTAATGACTGTTGAAAAGCTGCCATGTGTGAGGCCACACAATAGATGCTTTAAAACACATTATCTTGTTTAATCTTTAAACTGCCCTAAGAAGGTGGTTTAATTAGCCTCCTTTTAAAGATGAAGAAAGCTTCAGAGAGATTTAGGAGCTTGCCCAAAGTCATGTGGATAATAAATTGTGGAGCTGGGATTTGTACACATGTGTCTTTCTCTTGGTTGTTTCCTGAGGATTTACTTGAGAAACAGATAACCTTTACAAAATCATCAAAGATCCAGAAGGTGGTCTTATCAACATAATTTACAACAAGCTACCAGGAACTTGCAGCCTTCCATTGCTGCATTATTTGTTTCCTAGGACTGCCATAACAAAATCTCACAAACTGGGTGGCTTAAAACAACAGAAATTTATTCAGTACTAATTTTCTGTTTTCCCTTTGTCTTCAGCAAGCACCTCCAATGGTCATGGTTCTTTGCCCAGTGGAGTGACAAACATTCAATCTATATCACCCTATTCCCAAATAAGGTCACATTCTGAAGAACTGGGTATTGGAATCCAACATATCTTTTTTGGGGGGTGGGAGACACAATTCAGTTCATAGCAGCTACCCACAATTCCAATGATTTCAATACTTTTTAAAATCTGGTTTCCAGTTTTTCAGAAATGTAGACATAGAAGATTATAGAGATGTAATGAAAAACAAGCATTCTTTTATACTCCTTTTTTTTACACTCCTTTAAAATAAACAAATAAATAAATAACACAATACTTTTTTTACAGCATCCTCTCTTGATGGCTAGGAA